CCCGGGCCGTGCCAGGCCCGGCTGGGTCCCCCTGGTCCCCCAGTTCCTACAAGCCCCTACCGGGCTCTCCCCGGCCCTACCGGGTCCCCCTGGTCGCCCATGGACCTGCCAGCTCCCCCACGTCCCTACCAGTCCCACCTCATTCCCCAGTCCCTACTGGGCTCTCCGTGGCTCTACCAGTCCCAACCGAGTCCCCCGGTCCCCCGTGGCCCTGCCAGGTCCCCCTGGTCCCCCAGTTCCTTCCAGGCTCTTCCCTTCCCTACGAGTCTCAACCAGGTCCCCCATGTCCCTCCCAGGTCCCCCGTGTCCCTGCCAGCCCCAGCTTGTTCCCTAGTCCCTACCAGGCTCTCCCTGGGCCTACCAGTCCCAACCGGGTCCCCATGGCCCTTCCAGGTCCCCCTGCTCCCCCAGTTCCTACCAGTCCCACCTCATTCCCCAGTCCCTCCTTGGCTCTCCCCATCCCTACCAGTCCCAGCCAGGTCCCTCTGGTCCCCCGTGTCCCTACCAGCCCCACTTTGTTCCCCAGTCCCTACCGGGTCCCTCTTGTCCCCCATGTCTCTGCCAGCTCCCCCACGTCCCTACCAGTCCCACCTTGTTCCCCAGTCCCTACCAGCTTCTCCTTGCACCCCACCAGTGACAACCACACCCTCCCAAGTCCCAACAGAGCCCCAGTCCCAACCAGGTTCCCCCACCTTGTCCCCCAGCCCCTTCCTCTGCCCCCCTCGTACTCTGGGCCCAGCTCAACGCCCCTGAGCCCCCCAACCTCCCTTCCTCACGGCCCCCAACCGAGCTCTTCTCCGCCCGCAGGAGGTGAGCGCGTTCCCCCCTTGCCCCCCAGCCCCTTCCTCTGCCCCCCTCGTACTCTGGGCCCAGCTCAACGCCCCTGAGCCCCCCAACCTCCCTTCCTCACGGCCCCCAACCGAGCTCTTCTCCGCCCGCAGGAGGTGAGCGCGTTTGGGGAGGCCGGTGAGGGCGACTACCTGGACGACTGGACGGTGGTGTGCAGCGGGACCTACTGGGCACGGGACGATGAAGTGCGCTTCCAGCACGCCTCCACTGACGTCTTCCTCTCGGTGACGGGCGAGCAGTACGGGCGGCCCATCCACGGGCAGAAGGAGGTGCATGGCATGGCTGTCTCCAGCCAGAATAACTACTGGAAGGTGATGGAGGGCATCTTCATGCAGCCCAGCGAGGTCTTCAAAGCGGAGCAGTACCACGCTGAGTTGTGATGGACAGACGGACTGCCGCCGAGGCTCCGGGTGCTGCCCTGCGGCGTTCGGGGCCGCTCGACCCAGGGGGCAGCTCCTGTCCCTGTGTGGGTCTGACGCACGCCAGGACGCAGAGCCCCAAACCCAACACGAAGCAGATCCCAACGTCCTGAATTCAATGTGGAGCAGATCCTGCTGTCCCAAATCTGACACGTAGCAGATCCCAGCGTCCAGACCTGACCCAAAGCAGAGCCCGACATCCAAGATCCAACATGAGGCAGGTCCCCACACCTTAAACCCAGTCCAAAGCAGATCCCAACATCCATACCTGACCCAAAGCAGATCCCAGCATCCAGACCTGACCCAAAGCAGAGCCCAGCATCCAAGATCCAGTATGAGGCAGGTCCCCACACCCTAAACCCAGCCCAAAGCAGATCCTGATGTCCAGACTTGACCCAAAGCTGAGCCCAACATCCAGACCTGACCCAAAGCCAAGCCCAGCGTCCAGTCCTGGCCCAGAGCAGATTCCCGAACTCCCCAGCCCTTCCCTTCCCTCGTAGCTCCCTCCTCCCGCCCAGGACCCCCCCGCAGGGCTGCAGTCCCCCGGTACCCGCACCCCGGTT